ATTGGGAGCTGATCTCATCAAAATGTTTAGAGATTGTCAGGATGTTGTGTAACTTAGGCATGCTAGTGTTCCTGGTCCTTCTAGAAGGTGGAGGTCGGGAAGTTCCTGCAAAGTTCTGCTCAAGGTGTAGACAATATTATATTCCTCTACTTCATCTGTTGTCTTTCATGTCACTGTGTCTCTCCCCTTCAAAGAGTCCAGCATCTTCTGTACATCCATTCCAGTTGACAGGCTCCCTTCACTGATGGACGTTTGTGAACTGCTTGTGATTTTGTGACAATTCAGCAGTTTCCTTAGTCACTTTTTCCTCATGCAAGACCCATGTTTACCAGTCATTTGGCTTCTTTTCACAACCTACATTTGTTTTTGTGTGTTCTCTCTCCCCTTTTTTTTTGTTTAGAATTAATTTTGCAAAATATTAGAATGGGAGGACTTACAGTCAGAAACTCAAACTAAACAGCCCATCCTTTCTGGAATTTTGGGCTCGAATTCCCTACACGTTGATCTATGTTGAAGCAGCTCTTATCAAAGTCACAAATTGCATCCAAAATACTATCCTATCCTTCATCACCCCTTTCAGCCTGTCGACAGTATTTCTCACCAGTGACCAAACCCAAGGCTTCTCCAACTAGCTGGGTCTGCATTCTCTGATTCCTATCCTCTTTATCCGATCATAGTCAGAGAATCAATTGCAGTGATGGTGATCATTTGAGTTATGTTTTTATTCACAAAGCTTGATACTCAGATGTTCCATTATTGTACTGGTTGTGGCTGTCGCTTTCAGAGCAAGTCCAGCTACAGGAGTCCTTTTGTAAAAGGTGAAAAGAGTGAATGGTCCACAGTACACAACTGAAGCTCATAGAGAAACAAAAACATCTGATAATTCTGACTACAATACAAATTGCAGCATAATAACTGTAATTGCTGTTTCAGGCTAATTGAGCAATATTCATTGGCAAGATTGGTCAAAAGCTCCATTAGTGCAGAAAGCAGTTGGTAGGACACAGACCTTGATCTTATTCTCTGCACTGCCTGACTGTCCCCCTGTTTCCCTGATTCAGATACTGATTAACTGAGACTCGGTCTGTAATGGTGGCCAGATTACCAACAAACCAGTATGCCTCAGAAACCATTTTATCTGAAATCGCAGTTTGGCTGGGTGAGCAACGCATGCTCAATGACTCCTGAGACCTTTGGTTTTGGTGCAGCACAGAAGACCATCAATCAGTCAAATGAATGGGAGCGAAAGAGGCATGTAGCCAAGCCAGAAGTTCCCTCATTGGGAAATCAGTGAATTACAGGTGCTCAGAACTTGCAGAGTCCAATCATCTCATCTTCACATGGGAGATTCTCCACTTTCTTTTAAAAGTGACTTTTTTGGCAACAACATACTAACCATCCAAACCATTCTTCCCTGCGTGGAGAAAAACTCCTGCAGATATTTTGACCCCTCTGTTTCTTCACCTCTTAGGACAGCAGACCCACTTTCTTCCATCTCTCTACTGAAGCAAAAACACTCACTGTTGATACTATTTTGGGAAATCGTCCCCTCATCCTCTCCAAGACATCGACATCATTCTTAAAGTCTGGTGCTCAGAGTTCCACATAATTCAACTGAGGATCTACCAATGATTTAAATCAGTTTGGTATAATTTCATGCTCTCATCCATCTTGTATCCATTAGTGAAGCTGAGGACCTGTTAAATTTTTCAAAACACAGCTTGACCGTATTCCCAAGTCACTCTGTTCCTGCATTGTTAAAAATTGTACCATTTAGTTTATTCTGCCTCTCCTCATTTGAACTTTCAAAGTCCAATCATTGACTGTGAATTAGTTTGGGATATTCTGAAGCTGTAAAAGGGGCAAAATGAACATAAGAACCTTCTGTGTCTGATTAAAAGTTGCAGATTTTGCTCTCCAAGGTTACACTGTATTTGAGATTCACCATGACCTATTTTATTGCAGCTGAGAGTCGATGAATGAAGAGGACAGATCACAGGCAGTGGGTCTTCAAAATTCGCTGCAGGACTCATCTGTTTCCACTCTTAGTTCAGGAGGCAGGTGTTCTCCTGATGCACAGTGACCAACATTTGTGTTTTATCCGAACAAAAGAACAGGACAGACATTGGGTTATTGTTTTGCAATCTCATTATGCACAAACTGGTGCCATGGAACAGAAACAGTTTTTGTATTTACATAACACACTTAGACCTCTAAGACTCTACAGAACAGGAGAAAGCCTTTTGCCCCATTGAGTCTGTGCCAGTCAAAAACAACCACTTTATGACTCTAATCCCATTTTCCATCTCTTGGCGCATAGCCTTGTATGCATCATAACTGTACATCTAAGTACTGCTTAAATGTTATGAGTGTTTCTGCTTCTACCACTCTTACAGGCAGTGAGTTCCTGATTCCCACCCCCCTCTCATCAGTGTAAAAAAAAATTTTGCTCACGTTCCCTTCCAGACCTTCTGCCCCTTGGCTAAATCTGCACCTCTGGTCACTGACCATCAAGGGGAAGGGTTTCTTCCAGTCTACCCTGTCTCTACTCCTCATAATTTTGCACATTACAAAAAGGCAATAAGCTGTCTCAAGATTTTTCGGAGCAGTTTAATGAAGAAACATTTGACATCAAGTCAGAGAAGGTGACTTGGAGAGGCCATTTTTAACAAATACATTTATTCAGGGGAGAGAGGTTCAGGAAAGGAATTTCTGAGCTTCACACACAGTCATGGACACGATAGCTAGAATAATTAAAATCAGGGAGGCTAAAGTAGCCCAAATGAGAGGAGCGCAGTGTGTTTGTAGATGACAGAGATGAGGACACAGTGGGAGTTAATAACAAGGATATTAATTTTAAATTTGAGGCATTACTTGCCCAGTAGCCAACATTGATCAGCAAGGATAGGGGTGTTGGGCAAAGGGGACTTGGTGAGAGACACAGGCACCAGAGTTTTGGATGATCTTGTGATTGCAGGTGTGGCTAGGGTGAGTGAGAGAGACTGGTTGGGAATGTATTGGAATCAGGTCTAAGGCAACACAAACATGGAAGAGGGTTTTGGTAGCAGATGAGCTGGGGTGAGGTAGAGACAAACAACCTTCTGCAAATTGAAATTTCTGGTGTTAGTAATTATATGGATGTGCGGTCGGGAGCTGATCTTTGATTAAATATGACACCACGATTGTGAGGAGTGTGGTTCGGCCTCAGATAATTTCCCAAGGAGAAGGATGGACTTGGTAGTTAGGGAACAGAATTCTCAACAGTGACCAAAGATAATGGCCTTTTGGATATGGTATAAGGAGTTTAATAATTTAGTGGCCGGAGAGGTATGGAAAGGGATTGTGGTGAGATAGAGCTGGGTGTCCTTGTGAAAACTAACACGGTGCTTTTGGATGATATCACCTCATGGTAGCATGTGGATGAGAAATGGGAGAGGCCAAGGATTGCTCCTTGGTGGACAACCCAAGCACTACAAGTACCTTAGAGAGGAAAGGGAGGCACAGATGGAGTGGTTGCTTTTTCTCAGGATGTTCGATGATGGTAGACTTAAAGGAGAGAGTGGACCAGGAGGGGAGAGAAGGCCATGAACAACAATCACTTAAAGTGGGGGAGTTGGATGGTCTGTGCTTTGTAGAATCCCCAAGCATAGAAGCAGACTATTTGGCCCATTGAGTCCAGATTGATCTTCTGAAGAGCATCCCATCTCATCCCTGTAACTCTGCATTCCTCGTGGCTAATCCACTCAGCCTGCACATCCCTGGACACTATGGGCAATTTTAGCATGGCCAATCCACCTAACCTGTACCTCTTTGGAAATCAGAGCACCCAGAGGGGAGCCACACAGACACAGGGAGAACATGCAAACTCAACACAGGTAGTCACCCGAGGTTGGAATCAAACCCAGGTCCCTAGTGCTGTGAGGCAGCAGTGCTAATCACTGAGCTACTGTGCTGTCCAGTCAAATGAGAATAGATCAACATCATCTCTGGTTCGGCATGACGAGAAAAACAAAACTGGAAAAAGGTGCAAGTTCAGGATTAAAACCAGGAGAAAATTTTGTGCAAATTTGGCCCAGTGGCTAGTAGAAGGGAGGGATGTAGCAAAAGCAGATGATTGGATTGTCTCAAGTTCAGTGACAAGCTCCAAGAGCTCCTCACATTTATTGTTGGAGATCAGGATGTGGGAGAAAGGGAAGAGGGAGAAACCTTCAAAAGGAACAAACTTGATTTCGATGTACTAAAAAAAAAATCATATTCTGTGTTTAATGCAAGCCGAATTTATTTGACTTTTATCCAGAATATTAAAACCTGTAACTGAAGTGGGGTTTAGTAACATTAGCAGAAACAGAGCCTGATGTAAGAGGTTCCCTCCCGAGTAGGAGAGGCAGCTAAATCCCATCACTGCAGTTACTTGTGAACTTGCTGGTGCTTCAGCCGGTTGGGTGACTGAATTAATCCCTTCCCACGCTTGGAGCAGGTGCGTGGTCTCTCCCCAGTGTGACTTTGCTGGTGTCTCAAAAGGTGGGATAATTGAATGAATTCCTTCCCATATTTGGAGCATGTAAACAGTCTCTCCCCAGTTTGAACATGCTGGTGTACAATGATTTCAATTTATTCCCTGCACCCATTCCCACAGTGAGAGCACCTGAATAGTTTCTCATCAGTGTGAACGTGTTGATGGGACACTAGCTCTCTCGAACTTTTAAAGCATTTCCCACAGTTTGGACATTTAAAAGGTCAGTGTGAACTCACCAATATTTCAGCAGAAGGGATGAGCAAATCACTGCCCACACAACAAACAGGTGAACAGCTTCTCCACTGTGTGAATTCACTGGTCTTCAGTGAGGTTAGCTGAATGCTTGAACCCAATACCACAGTAACAGCATCTGAACAGTCTGTCATCAGAGTGACCACATTGAGATATCAGTTCCCCAGAAAAGGTCCCTCTGCGATGTGAACTTGCTGGTGTAGCAGCAGAGTGGTTGAGCAAGTGAATCCCCTTACACAGAACAGATGAATGGTCTCTTCCCATTGTGAACTTGCTGGTTTGTCAGCAGGTGGGATGACCTAGTGAATCCCTTTCCACACTCAGGGCAGGTATACGGCCTCTCCCCAGTGTAACTGCACTGATGAACTTCCAGCTGGGAAGGATTTTTGAATTCCTTCCCACATTCTCCATGTTTCCGTGGTTTCTCAGTCTGATTGCTGATTTTTGCTTTTGTGATCAAAGCGGGATGACGTTCAGATTGTGAGGACTGAGTATCTCTGTCAGAATCCAAAATGACATACAGTTTGAGTTTCCTGACTGCAAATATTCCCTGTCTGATTTCCTCTAAAATAAATTTAAAATAGAAACAAGAAAATGTGACCATAAACTGAGGGGGAGAAAAAAGCAGGATATGATAATGAGCTGAATAAATCCAGTAATTTGTGGAGCTGGCAACAGGACAATGTGACCATGAAAACTGCTGGATTTTTTTTTACAAAAAAACACAACTGGTTCAGTAATGCCTTTCAGGGAAGGGAACCAGCTGCCCAAGCTGAGCCTATACAAGACTCTGGTCTGCATCAAGAACAGAGAAAAATTAGGGAGTGGGAATTAAAATGGGCTTTATCTATCTGCAATGTTGACAGAACCTCCTAAATGTACCTACTGGAAAAACAAAAGCAGTTGGTGCAATGGGATACCATCACTTCCAGGACTCGCAGCAGCAGGTTCAGACAGGAGAGATACCATTCGCTTGCTCCATGTGTCAGAAGGCAATTAATCGATCAGTCAGAGATAATAGGAACTGCAGATGCTGGAGAATCTGAGACAACAAGGTGCAGAGCTGGATGAACACAGCAGGCCAAGCAGCATCATAGGAGCAGGAAGGCTGACGTTTCGGGCCTAGACCCTTCATCAGAAATGGTCTAGGC